CTCGCGGGATACTTCCCATAATTCCTCGCGCCTTGCCGCCGTGGTTGCCAGGCAACGCGGGTCCCTGCCGCCGCCGGCGCGGGGTTCGACCGGACGATGGGGCCGCGGGGCCTCCCCCGACTCCTGCTGGTGCTCCTGGACTGCTGGGCCTCCGTGAACGCCCAAGCCGGGACCACCCTGGTGGTGACAACGGAGGGCCTCAACTCTACTGAACCAGCCCCGACGACTCCCCGACCTGCCTTGTCTGCTAGGCCCCCGGGTACCCCCAGTGTCCCCGGACCCTCCTCCGGTCCCAGGCCCACCCCGGTCACGGACGGTGGGTACCAAGTGCCGGGTCCAGGGGATCCACAGTGATCCATCCTGGAGGGGGTAGCCCGGGTGAGGGTGTAATAATAATGTTGGTTAACGTTTATTGAACACTGTATTGTGCAAGCATTCCCAAGTGTTTCATAGGGATTCTCTCAATAACTTTTAGAGGCAGATAGTATCCTTGTCCTACAGATGAGAAAACCGAGGCTCAGAGAGCGTAAGTGGGACAATAGCAAATCTTTGAAAGTACTTGCAATGGTCCTGGACAACATTAATGCTAAAGGTAATAATGAATGAAGTCCTTGCAGCTTTGCAGCCAAAGAAGAAATTAAGTCGACAGTTTCTAGGCAGTTGTGAAAACTAAATGCAGAGGATGCACAGAACACTGATTCCTGGTGCCCTTAACTGGGTCCTTCCTCTGAATCAGAGGAGGTTGGGGGTCTGTAATATTAATCGGATGGTTCTTATGGTCAGGCAAGTGATTTAGCTGGTTCTTAAACCTGTCTGTCAGCATCACTGGGAAATTTTTTTAAAAATATATTTTATTGATTTTTTACAGAGAAGAAGGGAGAGGGATAGAGAGGTAGAAACATCGATGAGAGAGAAACATCCATCAGCTGCCTCCTGCACACCCCCCACTGGGGATGTGCCCGCAACCAAGGTACATGCCCTTGACCGGAATCGAACCCAGGACCCCTGAGTCTGCAGGCTGATGCTCAGTCCACTGAGCCAAACCGGTCAGGGCAATCACTGGAAAATTTTTGAACAACACAGATGTCTGGGGTTCACAGCTTACCAAATCGGGGTCTCTGTAGGTAGATAGAGCACAGACAGCTTTCCAGGTGAGCCAGATGACTAGCCACTTTGGGGAAACCCGGGATTGAGGAGTGCTCAACCTGACTAATCTTCACTTCATCTCTCCCAAAGTGCAGTAGCAAAAATCAAGTGGATATTTGTACCACTGGTGCATTGCAGTGGCAGGGGGCAGTCACTACCTGCTGATTGTGACGCTCTGCATCCATTCTCTCCTTTCTGTAGTTGCTGCTTTGTGTGTCTGTGACCTGTCTCCAGCACAGTGTGACGTCAACTGCTGTTGTGATCCTGATTGCAGCTCCGTGGATTTTAGTGTCTTTTCTGATTGCTCAGTTCCAGTTGTCATGTAAGTTTGTGACACATGAAGTTTTGATAAAATTAGACCAAGATGATAAGATTTTGAGAAGACCATGAAAACGCCCCCGTGGCTGAAAAACTCAAGCCTGATTTCCTGAATTTTGCATCCTTCAGAAGCCATGCTGTCTAACCAGTTTGTAGAAGAGTATCTATCTCTTATTGCATCCAGCCAGATGATAGTGCAGTCAAAAGAGCAGACAGTACTTTTTTAAGAGTATAAGGAAATCTGTGCTCAGAGATTGAATTACATTTCACTTTGATTTGTAAACAGATAATGCATCATTTTTGCATTAGTGAATTCCTGTTTTGTATAGTCTAGTGTGAAAGGTGCAGTTTAATTTTACAGCTTTTGTTTTGGACATAGTAATAGTAACAATAAACTAAGTAGATGGTCAGGAAAGCTTTGTTTTTTTACCTTTCTGATATGCAAATCCCCCAGGAGTCCTCACAGTTCACATTGTATAGGAAAATAATGGAAAACGACATTCCTAGCCTATTACAAGGTAAAAAAGAATCTCTTCTGAGTGATCTGTTTCTCCTAATTCAGATTTCAAAGCTTTTTGAAAAACAGCAGCACTTAAAGAAGTTAATTTATTCAGGATGGGACCAACATATTCAGAGATGGAGTAATTATGTAATTAATTTATAAGAACTTAATTTATAAATTTAATTCTAGTTAGATGGAAAAGGGATATTGTATTAAAATGATTCTAAAACTCATCTGGAAGACTAAACAGATGAGAACAGCCAAGAGGTTACTGAATAAGAATAGCAAAAAAAAAAAAAAAGAATAGCAAACTCTTACCAATAGAAGAATGAAATACACTAAAAAATTAAAGAATGGCCCTAGCTGGTTCAGTGAATAGAGCATCAGCCCGAGGACTGAACGGTCTCAGGTTCAATTCTGGACAAGGGCACATACCATAGTTGCAGGCTCCATTCCTGGTCCTGGTGGTCAGGTTGCAAGTGGCAACCAATCGATGTGACTCACATCTCCCTCCTCCTTTCCACTCTCTCTGAAAAAAAAAATCAATGGAAAAAATATCCTCAGATGATGATTAACCACAACAAAAATCAAATAAAAAAATGAATGAAAAATATAGGTGAACATTTGTTGCGTGTGTGTGTGTGTGTGTGTGTGTGTTCGTGTGTGTTTTATTTGAGAGAGGAAGGGAGAGGGAAAGAGATAGAAACAACAATGATAGAGAATCATTGTTTGGCTGCCTCCTGCACGCCCCCTACTGGGGATCAAGCCTGCAACCCGGGCATGTGCCCTGCTGGGGAATTGAACTGTGACCTGGTTTATAGGTCAACACTAAACCAACCATTGAGCCACGCCGGCTGGGCTAGGTGAACATTTGTTAATCTTAGGCTACGGAATATTTTTTAAGCATAAACCCACAAACTATAAAAGATTGACAATTTCATTATTTTAAAAAATTAGTTATACCTCAATTTTTAAAAGGAATTATGATTATAAAAACCAATTAAAACTTCTATAATGACAAAAAGACCATAAAATTGAAAGGTAATTAACTGGGAAAAAGTATGTATAACACATGACATTAAAAGGAGATTCTTTAAAATATGGGCTCTCACAAATCAATGAAAAGACAAACATTCTGATACACAAATGGCCAATAGATATGAGTAAGCAACTTAACTGAGGAAATACCAGTGAGTGGTAACCATATGGAAATATGTTTAACCTTGCCAGTAAATTATAAAATTCAAATTAAAACAACTGGATAACGGATTTTTGCCCATGAAATTGGCAAAGGATATTTATAAGTTGGATAATATCCAATCTTGGCAAGATTCCGGGGAAATAGCACTCTTTGCTACAGTGTTGGTGAGGATGCATCTTGCCTTTCTGGAGGGCAATCTGGCAATATGTCTCAGTAGCCTTAAATTATGTACCTACCCCAGCAATTCTTCAGGGGATATAGCCTAAGGAAATAAGTGGAGACATTCATAAAGATGTATGTACAAGGATGTCATTATAGCATCATAAAGAGCTGGGGAAAATTAGAAACAACCTAAACCAACAGTAGAGGATTGGTTAAAAAGAAATTAGGGTGTCTTAATAAGTTGGTGTACAATGAAATCATTTAGTATAACATTGCAAAAACATATTTGATGACATAAATATTGGGCAATATATAATAAGTGAGAAAAGGCCTGAGAGCAGTATGTAGAATATGATCCCATTTCTATTATATCTCTAGCGCCATATCTGGATCTGTGTCATATTGATTAGGGTTTGTCAAGTCTGGGATTGGTTGAAGACCTGACTGTATAACTTGTAAGCTCCAAAACTTTCAGATGTCTTCATATTTTCTAATTTTCACAGTACTTTGAAGATGGCTTTATTCTGAAGAAAAGGAATTTTAGGTTCCTTCTGATTACTTACAAAAGTTCTGCAAAATTTTACATAATTGATTCTGTCAGAGTTTGCAGGGTTCATTTACATCAAAATTATACCCTGATCTACATTTCATACTTGACAAGATTTCCTTGAAGGTTATTCTACTTGTCTTAATATTTTTCCTGTTAGAGGAAAATGTTTCAAATGCCAAACATTTTAACACTGAATAAACTAAATAAAAATGGATTCAATTCTAGCATCACACTGTCATAAATATCTTCCATGTAGTTGTTAACATAGTACACAGTACAAGCATCTGACAGTTTTAAAGAATCTTGCTAAGAGTGTGTGCACATGCCTTAAAACTTTGTCTTATTATTATTTTTTTAATTTTCAGGGGTGATAGTCAGTTTTGTAGCCAAAAAGCAGCCATCTATTCATTGAATTTAACAGCAAACCCGCCCCAGAGGATATTTAAAGTTGTAGACCAGATCAATCCATCTATTTTCTGCATTCATATTACAAACTGTGAGTATTTAATATACTTTGTAAAACTCTGACTTTTTTTTTCTTTTAAAAGATCTTTTATGGGAAAATGTCCAATCTAGTTAGATTTAAAGCAATCATTCTATGGTTTGGCTAGGGTGTATCTTCTGAGGCCGTTTCCTAGGCAACTCCAAGTAACTTTAGAGACCTGTGGGCATGCACATTTTCTTTACAAGCAAAGGAACTGCTTGTATAGTTGACTTTTAAAGTCTCATACTTCATTTTAAAGGTGTTTATGATATGTAGACATGCATAGGAATCTAAATTTATTTATTTATTTTTTTTTTTTTTTAATATATTTTGCTTTATTTCCTCCTGGTTTAATGATTGAGAATCAGGTTCAGCTATGGTTTCGATTTCCTTTTTTCTCTTTTATTTTTACTTAGAATATTTGCATGAAAACAGGATCTTTATTTTTATCTGAGCGTTTGGCTCAAATAGGTGACTAGATCCAAAGCACAGGTAAAATGTCAAATGTTAGTGCTATCAAAGATCAGAGACACATTTATGGTTGTACCCAGTTAAGCTTTTTCATCTTTTCAGAATGTCTTCATATTTTGGCTTTGTTCCCTTATAAGTGAACACTTAGGGGAATGCTCTGTGATTTGTAACCTGGAGTAGTGACTGGTCCATCACTGTCACATTCTTTGACATAAAAGTGGCCCAGTGAACCTACCAGCCTATTCCCTTCTACCTCTTCCATAAACAGCATGTATTCTCCCGGACTTCAGAGTTGGCTGTGTGAGGGTAGAAATAGGGTCTTTCATTCCCATAGCCATCTGGGGTGGAAAAAGTTATTGATTATTACTGGCTTCTGTTGTGCTATTTATCTGTGGCTTTAGAAACCATTGCTTCTACACTGTTAGAGAAACAGGCCAAGTCTGAAGATCCTGTTTATTTAGTCAGATTCAAGAAATCTGGGGGAAGTAGATATGGAGAAAGATACTTTATTTTTTTCACGTGTCTTATTGCTATTAAGACTTTCAAAATTTTATACATGCTGTATATAATATATATGTATTTTATATTGATTTAAAATACTTTTTCTAAAAACAGATAAACCTGCATTATCCTTTATTGATCCAGAAGTGCCTGATGAAAACAATTTTGATAAATTGATGAAAACATTCCATGGTTTTTCATTGAATACAGAATCAGATGTTTCTTTAACAAACAAACCAGATGTTCCAAATACTACTAAATATGAAGTGAGTTGAGAACCTAAGTATATTCATCCTGTTGCAAATATCCTGTTCTTGTAAGTTATTTTTTCAGTATGTTCCCAGTAAAATCAGCTACCTGAGACATATAATTCATATAATACACACAAAAAATTAATGTACCGATAAATCAAAGATCATGAAAATTAAAATTGAGTAGTTGAATTCTAACATAGGAATTATTTTTTATTTTATTTATTTATTTTTTAATCCTCACCCGAGGACATGTCCATTGATTTGAGAGAGAGAGAGAGAGAGAGAGAGAGAGACAGAGACAGGGAAATATCAGGTGAGAGAGAAACATCTTTCAGTTGCACTGGGGATCAGACCTGTCACCTAGGCACGTGCCCTGACTAGGAATCGAACCCAAGACCTTTTGGTACATGGGGTGACACTCTAACCAACTGAGCCACACCAGCCGGGGCTCTAACATAGGGTTTAAAGTCATTTATTCTGTGGTAAGCTTGCATTTATCTCTGCAGAATTTGTTCTTTTCCACCTCAAGAAATGTAGCAAAGTGCTGGAGGCATGCTGCTGGAACAGAGGGGATTGGTGGGATGCCTAATCTTCTCAAAGTTGTATTTAGCTGTATAGACTTGGGGATGATGTGTGCTATTTTATATCTGTTCCTTAGTAAACCTTTCAATGTGATTTAAATAAGTATTGCTATCCTATATAATAAAAGGCTAATATGCAAATGAACCGAATGGCAGAACAACCAGTTGCTATGATGTGCACTGATGACCAGGGGGCAGACGCTCAATGCAGGAACTGCCCCCTGGTGGTCAGTGCGCTACAACAGGGGGAGCGCCACTCAGCCAGAAGCCGGGCTCACTGGCTGGCAAGCGCAGCGGCAGTGGTGGAAACACCCTCACCCTCCCCACCCCAGTGCACAAATTTTGTGCACCGGGCCTCTAGTTGAAAAATAATTATCTCTCTCACCCCTGTCCCTGGCCACCATGTTCTTGTCTGTAGAGGCAGACACCTATGTCAGCTTCTTATATACCCTTCCAGAGGAATTCCTTAATAAAAAGGCCTGCAATATATAGTAACATGGATACAAAGAAACATGCACCCTTAAAAGAAATGGATGGGGCAGCTACATGTAAGCTCCATTCAGGCAAGGACCATATCTGTTTTTTGCTCATCCCTGTGTTCCTAATGTCTGAAATGCTGCTCGGCACATAGCAGGTGTCCAATAAGTGTTGAATGAATGGCTTAATAACTGTTGGTGGTTCTCTTTGCAGTATGGGGTTCTTCTGCAGACTTCAGATTCATTTTTGAGATTTCCTTCCCCCCTTACGTCATCTCTGTGCACTGATAATAACCCTGCAGGTAAGAGAGCGGGCAGTTTTCTTTGTCCTTAAAACAGACTTAGCTTATTTTAAATTTATAGTAATTATAATTAAACAGGCTTCATGACTAGAAGCAGAGTCTTAGAGTTGAAAGAAGCCTCAAAGATTATGTCGTTTGGTGCCAGAATCTTTCCTGCCACATGCATTCACTGCTTGAGTACTTGTAGGATGGGGACTCCCAACCTGAACCAGCCCACTGAGTTGGTTAACACCTCCATCTGTGGGAAAGTTCTCTCTTCACCAGAGCTAAAAGTTGTCAGTAGCTGATGTTCATTAAGCACTCACTGTGTGCTGGGTATGATGTTCAGTGCCTCTGAGGTAGAGTTATTGTCATTAGATGAGGAACCTGAGAAACATTCAGTTTCTTGCTCAGGCTCACCTAGGTGGAGGGGGGGCGGGCAAGGATGCAACCCACACAACTGCTTCCCATGGGCCCTGCTGCTCCTTTTAGGAGCTTCCCAGAACTGTGGAGCAATCCTCTTGGCAGTGGGAGGCAGCAACCTGGCTCTCCCGTCCTTATGCCAGCCTCACTAGGAAGAAGCCAGCCAAGAATGGGTGATAGCTTGTGGCTTATTGAAACATCATTTGATACGCGAAGGAAAATGTATTCTGTTGACCAGCGTGAATTAAAACCGAACTGAGAGCATTTCCATCTAATGGACTTGCAAAGCTTAAGAATGTAGGGCTTGTGGGGAAGTAGGCACTCATCTACAGAGCTGGTGGGACTATTTATTGGTACAGCCTCTGTGAAGAGCAGTTTAGCAGTATGTATTAAAGTTGCAAATGAATATGCCCTTTGACCCTGCTGTTCTTCTAGGAGTTGGTCCTACAGAAACTCTGGCTCACATGCAAAATAATAGGTTGTAGCATTGTTTGCGACAGAAAGCTTGAGACAACTTAAGCATCCGTCATGGGGAACTGGCTGAATAAATTATGGCATATCTATAGTAGGATACTAATTATTCCTAAAAGAAAAAGGGAGGAGGATGAGACAGGCTGAACTCCAAGATTGTTCAGTGAAAAAAACAAAGGGAGGATATATATATTGTGCATTTGTTTCTAAAAGGGGAAAGAAATAGTAAAAATATATTTACTTTTAAACATTTTTATTTGCATAGAATATTTTCAGAAAGATACACAAGAAACTTCATGCTGAGTGTCTCTGGGGGCTGGGTAACAGCCCCTCTCAATACCTTTCTGTGATCTTTAATTTGGAATCATGTGAATGTGTTGCCTATATGAAAAATAAATTTTAAGCCCCATTTTAAACATGTCGTATATCTGTATCAATGTATTTTGTAATTTTACTTCTATTACAATTTTATAGCTACCATTGGACAGTTGAGATTTTCTTTTTTAATTTTTTCCCCTTGGGAACGTTATGATTTCCAGCATTTCTGATGAATCAAGCTGTTAAGTGCACCAGAAGGATAAACTTGGAAGAGTGCGAAGAAATGGAAGCTCTGAGCATGGCTCATTACAGCAGCCCTAACATTTTGAGGGTAAGAATTATTTTGAAATGAAGCTGATTCGTTAGGTTTATTTTCTGTTCTTGGTACCCTTTTAAAATATGACAAATATAGAATAATTTAAGTAGATGATTGACACTCAAATTTTAAAGTATCTCCAGTTCTTTGGTATACTGATACTGAACATACTGGGGAAAAATCACTTAAAATAATTTCTATTTTTATCTAGCTAGCTCATATTTTGCTTTTATTCATTTTTTCTTTTTTCTTTCACTCATTTTGATGGTAACCAATAATGTGTGTCTCCTGAATTAAAAAAATAATTAATAACCAAAAACTTTACCAATGATAAAAGCATCTTAATGTCTGTGTGACAGAAATAATCATATTACTCCAAGTAGAGATCTCTCTGAGAAACAGACCAGAAAAGGATAGAAAATCCACTTTCTGGCTGGCAGATGAAATAAGCAACCAGGGAAGGGCAGGGAATAGGATTGCTGGGAGAGGGAAAGAGGCCGCAGTGGTGAAGAGGCCCCTTCCTCCTGGTCGCAGGGACCCGAGCCTGACCTGAATAAATGAGAGACGCCACCGGCCCATTTGGTGGATGACGTGGAGGGCTGCAGGGGAGAAAATGTTTTTTAATGTTTAAAAAACATGGGATTATTGTGAAATCCCGGATCTCCTGATTTTCTTTTTTGGGAGGTAGTGGAAGAGTGGTCCATGGCATCAGTATCCATCTGGGCTTCAGTTTTCAGAGTCAAGTTTAACCTTTTTTCTCCCCTCCCTTCTCATGTCAGCCATCTAGGCCTGCGAATTCTTCCAGCGAGTTGGCCTTCTCAGTTTTCTGGAAGTATTCCCTCTGGCACGCAGGCACAGGTCCCTTTCAGCACAGGCCTCCCCGAAATGGTCTACTCATCTCCCTCCCCAAAGCTCCAGTGGCCTAAAAGGGTGGGTGTCCTGTGATTACAGAAGGGAGGCTGAGGCCTTCAGGAAGAGTGCTCTGGCTGTGTAGAGGAGGCAGGGGTGTGGCCTTGAGGGGGCTTGGGCTAGAGGCAGGAAGACCACTTAGGAGGCTGTGAAGGATGCTGACTTTCAGCGAGCACAGTGCAGTGAGAGTGACTGGCAGGTGGGAGCCATGTCTTCCTCACGGGGCTGTGTCACTGGTGACCGCATGGAAAATACCGAGTGATGACCCTGAAGCAGGGAGGCTTCCTAAGACTGGCCTGTTGGGTTGGTCTATTAAGCTTCCATTTTGGAGGAGGCGAATAGCAAAGGAAAACGTAAGGTTACCTCTTTGATTATGACATAGATACTAAAAGATATAGCTGGCAGGTCTTGATTAAGGATATTCTGTCTTCCTCTTTGTGAAGTCTTAAATAAGATGAATATGCCCTTTGACCCCCAGTCTGAAAAAAAAAAGCAATAAAAATGATTTGTTGTTGTTGTTGTATTTAACAAAATTTGTTGTTTCTTTCTGTCTAGGTACCTAATTCAAAAACAAAGGTAAGAGTATTTCTTAATGGAAAGTTTATTATACACTGTCTTATTTCTGAGCCTTTGGAAATGATTATATTTATGATTAGAAAAGTACCTTACTGCCAAGAACAAAAACACGTCTCAAAAAGCAAGCAGAGCCCTAGCCAGTTTGGCTCAGTGTATAGAGGGTTGGCCTGTGGACCAAAGGGTCCCGAGTTCAATTCTGGTCAAGGGCATGTACCTTGGTTGCAGGCTCCTCTCCAGCCTGGCCCCTGGTCAGGATGTGTGCAGGAGGCAACCAATCGATGTGTTTCTCTCACATTGATGTTTCTCTCTGTCTTTCCCTCTCTCGTCCACTCTCTAAAAATCAATGGAAAAATATCCTCAGGTGAGAGTTAACAAAAAAAAACCCAAAAAAAAACCAAACAGAAATAAAATAGGGAAACTTCATGGATGACCCTTTTGTAGTCATATGTTGGTGTGATCGGCCTCTGTGCTTTCTGGCCTCCCTTGATACCTCCTTGGTCTCTTGTCAGGAGAGCGGGCTAGCCCCCAGGATGCTGTCTGTCCAGTGAGGAGAGGAGGATAGAGACATTTTCCCCAGTGAGAGGTGAGCATCCCAGTGTAGCTTCACATTTAGTTGTGGGCAGGTTGTTCCAAGCCTATCCGCCCCCAGCCCAGGGGCCCTGTCAGGCTGTGGTGAGGAGGCCAGTGTCTCTGAAGGTATGTCAGGAGGAGGAACGTGGCTCTACCTCTTATTCTTGGGCCTGTGAATGCAGGCGATGGCCTTGCCATAGTATCCCAAAGCCTGTGTGGTTAGTCAGCCTTATTCACAAGTCAGCTCTGCCATGACTTTCTCATATAACATGCTCCTCACACCCCCAGTTGTCAAGCGGGCGATAAGCCTCAATGCGCATGAGCTGCTTTGTGCAGCGTCTGTCACACAGGAAGCACTTGGGACAACGATCCTACTCCCACTGATGTCATAAGGCTCTGGACACAAATGTGTTTGAGGTCGACATTTGAAAGGAAGTAATCATGTGATTTGAACTTCACACAACTGTGTGTGGGCCTGGATTTCCTCTTCTGTGAAGGGGGTTTTCAAACTTGTTTTGGTTATAGAGCTTCTTCAAATGAAATCTCAAACAGAACTCTGCCTAGTGTGTAAGATGGATTGAACCCAAAGCCCCTGGTTGGAATAAGGGTGGTGTCAGAAGCTCTCCACCTGCCCAGCCTCTCCATCTCTCTGCTGGTTTGGCCCCTCTGAGGAACCCTACAGCTCCCAGGAACCCAGTTTGAAAGTCACTGGACTAGCTCTCAAATACCTTTAAGTCACTAAAAAGTGCTTTGAACCTACCATTCAAAGCTTGAACTGTCTGTGGGACAGTGGCCCTGTCTGCGATATATCCTTAGTACCAGGGTGGTGCCTAGTATGTGTTGGGTTATATGTTAAGTGAATGAATGACTAGGGGATTGGCTCAATCAAGTAGGGAAGATCCTTTATGAGGAATAATGGGATGTTACTGAAAGGCACGAAGTGTGTGCCAAGCAGTGTTCCAAGTGCTACACATGTCTGAAGTCCTTTGGTCATCTCTGCAATCCTAGGAAGTAGGTCCTGTTATTGTGCCCCTCTGTCACGTGATTCACAGATGAATTACTTGCCCAAGGCCATGCAGCAGGGAAGTGGCAGAGCCGGGACAGGAATCCAGGCTGTCTGGCCACAGAGACCATGACACTGGACTAGCTCTTCTGTGTACCAGGCCTTGAGTTACAGGCTTCACGCACATTCTCTCTGCATCCTGTGGCCACACAGGAAGTGGAAGGCTGGGCCTTCCAACTCAGATTTGTGTGGCGTTAGAGTTTGTGCTCTGAAAGACAAGCATATCAACTAATATCAGAGGTTTCTTCATTTAAAATTTTTACTTACTGATTTGAGAGAGAGATAATTTGTTGTTCCACTTAGTTATGCATTCATTGGTTGATTCTTGTATGTGCCCTCACCAGGGATTGAACTCACAACCTTGGCATATCCAGATGATGCGCTAACCAACAGCTACCCAGCCAGGGCCTAAGGTTTTTTCCCAAAAGTGACTTCCAAGGTCTGTTAGAGAATCAGGAATATAAAAATTGGATCCAGTCTCCCCATTGAGTGAAGCCCCGATGACAGCTTGGAATCATTGTCAGTATTTGTTGAACCATCAGTGAAAGGTTAAGTTGTGGCTTCATAGTTTTATTAAGTACTAGAGGCCTGATGCACGAAATTTGCACAAGAGTAAGCCTTCCTTCCCCTGATGCCGGCACCAGCTTCCCTCCGGCACCCAGGACCTGGGCTTCCCTCGCAGCCCTGGCTTTGTCTGGAAGGTTGTCCGGTCTAATTAGCATATTATGCTTTTATTATTATAGATGCTTTGGTTCTTTAGTTTGGGATGGGAGATGATTGAGTGGAACATACAGGAGACCAGAACGGCCCTGCCATTGTCATTCTTGTGGCTGTTCCCGTGGATGCTGGTAGATGAGTCTGTTCTTCCCATTGGTCTTTCCAAAGCTTATTTAAACTGGACCGTTTGGCCCTAGCTGGTTTGGCTCAGTGGATAGAGTGTCAGCCTCTGGATTGAAGGGTCCCAGGTTCGATTCTGGTCAAAGGCATGTGCCCAGGTTGCAGGCTCGATCCCAGTAGGGAGCGTGCAAGAGGCAGCCAATCAATGATTCTCTCTCATTATTGATGTTTCTATCTCCCCCTCTCTGAAATCAATAAAAATATATTTAAAAAAATAAAACCTAGACCGTTTGGTTTCTGCCAGCCACACCCACATACTACAGGGTGTGCCTGTGACTGTTGGAGAATGTGCATGTGTGCGTACAGAGTGAGGGCATTTATCCATGGGAGCTGAGTTTTGGAGGTGATAACATACACATGCATTTGATGGTGTGATGAGAGTTTTTTGTGGTTGTGTTTGAGACATAATTCACCTCCATAAAACCCACCATTTAAAAGTGTACAAGTTAGTGGTTTGGGGTATATTCACAAGGTAGTGCAGCCATCACCATTATCACCAGGACATTCTTACTGCTCCAAGAATAAACCCTGTGCTTATTAGCAGCCACTCTTCATTCTTCCCCAACCCCCTCTCTCTGCCCAGCAACCACTAATATATTTTCTGTTTCTGTGGATTTGCCTATTCTGGACATTTCACATAAAAGGAATCACACAGTATGTGACCTTTGTGTCTGGCTTCTATTGTTTAGCACCATGTGCTTAAGGTTCATGTATGTTGTGGCAGGTGTCAGTCCCTTATTCCTTTTCATAGATGAATAATATTCTTTTGTATGAATATACCACATTTTATTTATCCAGTCATCAGTTGATATACCTGTGGGTTTTCAGTTTGTGGCTATTGTAAATGCTGCTGTGAACATTTGTACACACGTGTGAGTGTGTGAGCATATGTTTTCAGAGGTAACCACAAGTAAAGTTTTGGCTATATCCTTAAGTATTTTCTCTGTGAACGTATATATGTATTGCATATAAATATCCACATTTTCGCAAATGTGGAATTACACAGCATGCCTGTTGTTCTATAGCACGCTTTTCCCTACTTGGCAGTGTGTCAGTGGAGGTTCGTTTCAAGTGTTTTGTTATTTTAACCCGTTCATTTCTGTTGTAGTGTCTTCGGTAATCCTGGACTTCTTTATTTTGCAGGTCCCTATCACTGTCCAGTCCATCGTCATTCAGTCTCTAAATAAAACGCTCACCCGGCTGGCAGACACGCACGTATTGGAGCCGGTTCTTGTCGAAGAGGCTGGGGCTGTTAAAGTCTGCACCAGGGTCGTTCTAGAGGTAGGGGCCCAGTGGCTTTGAAAGCTCCATCAGTTTGTGGCAGACTCAAACTGCATGGTCCCGAGGGGTTCAACTGGATGTCCTTCAAAAGGGGCTCTGGCCCACACTGTGGTATTGCTTTTCTTGATGTGGCCTCCTGCTTGCCTTTCTGCTGTCCCCTTAGAGCAGTGGTTGGCAAACTGCGGCTCATGAGCCACATGCGGCTCTTTGGCCCCTTGAGTGTGGCTCTTCCTCAGCCTTAGGAGTACCCTAATTAAGTTAATAACAATGTACCTACCCATATAGTTTAAGTTTAAAAAATTTGGCTCTCAAAAGAAATTTCAATCGTTGCACTGTTGATATTTGGCTCTGTTGACTAATGAGTTTGTTGACCACTGGGTTAGAGGATACCTCTTTGTCTCTGAAGTAATCACGTGTGCTTTTTCTCCATAAACCCAGTGACTTACAAGGATACATAAAAGTTTGTTGTTGTTGCCACTGTTTTGTTTTAATGTTTCCACTGCAGAGAGAGACTGATTATATCCTGCCCAGGCCAGCTGATGTGGAACTTACTAATCGGTACGGAGAGGCTCAAATGACTGTTTGTCAGCAGGGGTGATGCCGAAATAACACCTCCCCTACCTGATTGGACAGGAGAGAAAAGCTTCAAGTGGAGAAATGGGAAAGCATTAGCCTCCTTTGTATAGTTTATTTGAGTTATTAATACAGCTACAGAAATGTCATGGGAACAGGTGTATTTGGAGTGTCGTTTTCGTTTTTAGGTAAAGTACACTCTCACATACACAGAAGCAGGTGAAGTAACAAAAGCCGATCTCTCTCTCCTTCTGGGGACAGTGAGCAACGCAGAGCTTCCACTCCAGCAAAAGTTTGAAATTCATTTTGTTCAGGTAAGATTGATCAGTTTTGTACAAGTAGCTCATTGCCAAGTGAAAAGAAACCCTAACTCGTCAGTGAAAAACATAATCTCAGTTTAGAAGTATTGCCACACCTAACCCCTTGCACTGAACGAAGGCTTGCACATAGCATTGGGTTTGTAATGCAGCAGGCCGCGGCCTGCATCCTTTCCCCCGGGACCGAGTCCTTGCATGCAAGCCTGCCCTTTACAGCATGATGTACTCCTACACTCAGCAGATACATTTATAGTTCGGAGTAGGGGAGAAATTATTTTATTGGTCGGTAATTCCGGATTTTATTCTGAAAAGCATTTCATTTCCCCCCTGCCACTTCCTTGTTAAAGTGAGAATTACGTGGGGGCTTTTCTGCATTGTCTTTCAGCAAAATACAAAGCCAGTTCCTCTCAGTGGAAACCCTGGTTATGTTGTGGGCCTCCCGCTGGCTGCTGGATTTCAGCCTCACAAAGGATATCCTTTTGGTTCCATGGAGAAGGTTGATTTCCCTGTCCACGTGCAGGAGCCACGCTTCCCTTTATCGCTGAGGGGCCTGTGGGCTGGAGGGGCTGGTCTGGGCCACAGGCTTCCCTGGTGGCTCTGGAGGGGCTGGTCTGGCCACAGGCTTCCCTGGTGGCTCTGGAGGGGCTGGTCGGGCCACACAGCACGTGGTGGCTCTGGAGGGGCTGGTCGGGCCACACAGCACATGGGGCTCCTTGGAGACTGGAGGTTAGGGGTGGAACAGCACGACCCAGGACAAGGTCAGTGTTTATAATGAAAGTCTTAACCCCGAAAAGCTGACAGAGATGTAGATGTATTTAATTTCACAGAGATTCAAACAAATTTAGTGATTTTGAAAACTTCGAATTAATTTTGAAGGGCCAGTTTCTGAAGATTTTTTTCTTCTGAGGATCCAATCAAGGAAAATAGTTATAACTGCTTTTACCATCTCCTGGGAAATAGCTGTCATATCCCCAGAGGCCAGAGGAGAGATATTTGGGTCTCCCTCATGTCTCAGTCACACGTGTGCCACTGTTTCCTGAGAACCAGATGCTGTCATACTGGGTGGTTACCCCTTAACTCTCCATGAAAGTCTGGGATTATTCAGACCATGAATAGATATGGACAACTTACGATTCTTCGTAGCACAGCTGAGCAAGACTGCTTGGCAGTAGAGGGGATTCGGACCCCAGTATTATTTGGTTACAATATGCAATCTGGCTGTAAACTAAGGTAAGGGAGTGACTTGTTTCTGTTGGAACTTGCATGTGTTGATCAGAAAATAAAACATCCCGCTCCGCCCCCTCCCTTTTCAATCAGACATTTGCCTCAGCTGATGGGAGTGCCTGTGAAAGCTACAATGTACCTTATGATTATTAATAGGTAGTAGCAATAGTGACAATACATTATAATATAGTTTTTTTATTTTAATTTTCAGAACCATAAGCCATGTGTCATGGTTCAAAGGAAAACTATTACAACCATTTTTAAAATCAAATAGAGTGGAGTAAAAACCTCAAGGCTTTGTATGTTTTGTTTTTAAGGTTGCATAGCACTTGAGTTCACAGCAAAAATACTTCCCCTAGAAGTCCTTGCTATAGGTCTGCATTTTAATATCCTGCACACAACATAGCAAGCCCAGTGAGAGGAAGCCTGAGTGTGCGCTGCTTTTAATGTACCTTTTTATTATCAAACATGCACCTACTGTAAAATGTCAAATGGCTCTGCATGGCTTAGTCTAAAATAGCAGTTCTTACCCTCACCTGCCCCACCCCAGAGGTAGTAACTCTTAGAGCTGATTTTTTGGAAATTTACCTTCAAATCTTTAAATGGCCTGCATGTAACGCTATTTCTTGATATTTTAGTTTTATAGATTATTTCTTGAGTTCCCACTATGGAAGATGAAAATCTGGCTCTATTCCCTTTCACCCCCTACCCCACCATCCACTCCCTCCTGACCCTGTAACTCCCCAGGGTAATTATGTCATTATTTTGGTTAGACCAGTATGCACCATTTACATTTTTACATTATTAGTTTTGTTTTTTTTTGTTGTTAATCCTCACTGAGGATATTTTTTCCATTCATTTTTAGAGAGAGTTGGGGGTGGGGGGGAGAAATAGAGGGAAACATCAATTGGTTGCCTCCTGCACATGCCCTGGGGCCATGGAACAAACCTGCAACCCAGGTAGATGCCTTTGACCGGGAATTGAACCTGTGACGGCGCTCTAACCACTAAGCTCCCTGACCAGAGCTTACATTATTAGTTCTGATCATTTTAGACCAGCATTTGTGAAAGGGGGGTTCAGAATACATTTCCACAAGATGTCAGTAGGGGTAGGTCTATGATTCAATATGTTTGGGAAATACCAATTAAAGTTAAAACCATGTTCCTACTGTAGGACTTCTCAGAGCCTTTAATATGCCAGTGTACTTCAGGAGGGACATGGGTATGCAATAGTTCTCAAACTTTTGGCCGTGGAACCTTTCTTGTACAGAGCCTCTTGATGGAACACAGTTTGAGAAACATTGTTTTGTATGCATCTCCTTGGCCAACGACTATTTCTCAAAGTTAGAACACATTGGCTTCTTTCAAACAATCCCCTTTTGGAGAGTGAGAAAATAAACCAGAGAGAGCATGTGTGTTGTTGAGCCTGTGAAAAATGCTGGTGTGAACAACAGCCTTATTTGATTGACTTCTTTTTCCTTCTCCAAAGACTGACCAGCACTATCACGTGTCCACTTGTCGTGGAGAAGGTGAAGAGCCTGCTGAAGGGTCAGGGCTTCCCAGATTATGTGGCCTCTTTTGGAAATTCTCAGGCCCAGGATGTGCTGGACTGGGTGCCTCTCCACTTCATCACCCAGGCACCCCACACGAAGGTACAGGGGGAGAAGTTGAAGGCCACATAATGGCGATCTCTCTTTCTTCCACTGCCCCTCCACCCCGTGGGAGGTAGATGGCTCTGGGCTGGAGCCTGGGCTTTATCATCAGATGGGCCCGGACCTTGAATACTGATTTTATCCTTGTTAACACTGCTGTCACTGGCCATTGATTTTGTGGGGTTGGGCCCTTTCCTGTCTGTGCAGTGGGAATGATGGCTATCGTACCGACCTCATAGGGATTGTTGTTAATGAGGTGATTAATATTCATGGTGCCTAGTGGTTACTCCATAACCAGGAACCTGACCATTCCTACTGTCATTGTTGGGGTTACATGAGGCCTCTAGGCATTGGATATGAGACGAGTGTGAGGACTGTCTCAGAGAGATTGAGACATCCTCCCATCCACAGAGCTGTTCCCTGGGCTATAAAGGTGGCCCACATGAGAGCTTTCAATTCAAAAGTTCCCAAGAGTTTAATGGAATTTGACATCCTATAAATGGGTTCCTGATCACATGTGATTCTTCTGCCCACCTTTTCCTTTTGTCTCAGCAGTCAGTGTGGGCTGGCCCCATGCCTGGAGGTGTGCTCTCCATCTTATCCTTTAATTGCCCAGCTTTTTCTTGTCACAGTTTCTTCAGGCCTTTCATTATCTGCTTAGCATATTTATAGCATGGGGACAGGGGGGTGAGGACGCCTCCCCAGCTCGGATCCCGCCCTTCCTACCAGAGACGGGTGATTGCTCAGTCCCTGCTGTTCAGCTGCTAGGTCTTGGCTCAGCGCTGCTGCCTCAGTGAACCAGGCAGATTGCTTCTGGCTTCTTGGAGATGGGTTAAGACATCCAGTTATTACTTCCCCCTCAGAAGGGAAAACGTTGGGAGGAGACGCAGCAGCGAGGACATTAGCACTGCCAGGGTCTGTGCTGGTCCAGGGAGCTCAGGGCCTGGGGTGGGTTTGGGGCCAACCTTTCAGGAAACCCAGGTAGAAGCAGCCATGAGAGCATCTGCTAAGCTCAGTTATACCAGCTGCTTGTTGCATCTTCTCCTAATAACAGGATATTCAAGGATCTCTCAGCCTACAAATTGCTTCAAAGGCAGTTCCAAGCTAAGGATCCCACCAGTGCCTTTTTGGCAGGCACAAATTTAGCAGGCCTGCTTGCTTCTCATGCCTTGAAGAGATGTGTTTTTAAAAACTTGTTATTGTGGAAAATTTCAAACATACACAAAAATAGAATAATACAACGGAATCCCTTCTAACCATCATGCAGCTTCAACAGTTATCACAGTTGCCAACTATAGAGGTCAACTCTAGAGGCAGGAAAAAGATGGGGAAGGCCCACCAACCATTTTCCCCCTGGGGCTGCCCAAACAGAGGCCCTGGGGCAGAGGCCTCAGGCCCAGCTCCCACAGCGTCCAGTCTGAACTGGCAGCTCCATGGAGGTGCTCGGTTCCTGTGGAGAGTTGGCAGTATCTTTGACAACTCAGACTCTGCCTATAAGCCCAGTGTAACACCTTAATTGCCAATTGATGAAATTAGATAAATGAAAAGAAGGCACTTACATTTCTTTTAAGTGTATTTTAACATGATATGCAATTGGGTTTATCTGTTAATAATATCATCCTCTCTTTCTCCTCCCCAAACAATGCCAGTTTCTCTCAAGTATCTTGAAGGTAGCTGTAAACAGGTAGAGGAAGTTAGAGCAGGCAAGGCCCTGAAGGTTTTACAGACATGCACTGGGCTTACAACTCCCAGGTGATGCTGGCCTCTTTAGAAATCAGAGGAATTGGAAGGATTGGAAAAATTGTGCTTTAGGTGTTAAAATGTTTTTGGAGCATTGAGTACTTTAAAATATGTGCTTTCTCTAAGCGGTTTTTATCTGAACTTTGAGAGTCTATTCATTCTCTTGTTCAGAACATTTTGTAATATGTGAAACATTTTATAATTAAAACTCTGAACTGCAGATTAAGTTTGACTTGCAGTTGGCGTAATAGTCAAACTGATTAACAGCATTTTGTTTTGTAGGATGTCTGCCAGCTCCCACTGGCTTTGGTTATAGAAGTGAAGTGGACTAAGTACGGATCCTTACTGAACCCACAGGCTAAAATAGTCAACGTAACTGCAAATCTAATTTCATCCTCATATCCTAAGGTAGGCCTAACTTTAGTTTCAAGGTATAGGTTAAGACCCAAGTCCAGACAAAACTCAAGTGTGATAGTAAAATTTATTATTTTGTGAAAAAGATTATAATTAAAATGGAAACAATCTGGATTATTTTTTTTAAATATATTTTTATTGATTTCAGAGAGGAAGGGAGATAGAAACATCAATGATGAGAGAGAATCATTAATCGGCTGCTTCCTGCATGACCCCTACTAGGGATTGAACCCGCAACCCAGGCATGTGCCCTTGACTAGAATCAAACCCGAGAGCCTTCTGTCTGCAGGCCGACACTCTATCCACTGAGCCAAACCAGCTAGGGCAACAATCTGGATTCTTAAAACATTGTAGCAGTCATTTTCTTTCACTTAGCCAGTGGTTCTCAACCTTCCTAATGCCGCGACCCTTTAATACAGTTCCTCATGTTGTGGTGACCCCCACCCATAAAATTATTTTCATTGCTACTTCATAACTGTAATTTTGCTACTGTTATGAATCATAATGTAAATATCTGATATGCTATATGTGTTTTCCGATGGTCGCGACCCACAGGTTGAGAACCGCTGATTAGACTCTAAGTCTTAGAGGAAAAACCTCCACTGACAAGGGTTTTATTCACAGTAGCGCGCTTGTTTAGATTTGATCTTTAAAATTCTTATGAAAATTGAGTTGTGATTGACATTGATGTGTTGGGACAAGCTGGGTAAAAATTATTTCTCTCATCCAAGTTAATGGCTGATTAGCCCTCCACATACCTATCAGATTTTTGAACGGACCAACAATGGTCGGTGAGGAAGAGAATGAAAGATGTCCTCCTGTCTTTGTTATCCTGGTAACACACGGCGGCAAGGCTGACATCACCCTGGCTTTTTATTACAGACCAACTCAGGAAAAGAAAGGACGATTCTTATTTCCACTGCGGTTACTTTCGTGGATGTGTCTGCACCTGCAGTGGCAGGCTTCAGAGCTCGGCCAACCATCAACGCCAAGCTGCCCTTCAATTTCTTCTTCCCATTTGTTTGACGTAAGTCATTAAAGAAAGGAGGCTACACCTCTAGAATAGAGTGGCTGTGGGGCCCCTCAGCAACATCTCATTTTATTACACTTCCAGACCAGTACACCTCCCCTCCCCACTCATTTCCCTCCTTTTGGAAATTTTATTCTACTTGGTTTGACTTTAAAATGGGGCACTATCTGATCTTGGTAATTTCCAAAACTCTCAACACACAGATCATATATGGAAACCAAATTGCACCTTTGGGAAGACCGTAGAGAGAACAGACTTTGAAGTGGCACAGGCATTGAGGGCTTATCCAGTTCACTCACCTCCTGCTTTGATGTGAGTTGTTGTTAAAATAATCATTGTTTTTAGTTCAGGTTTTCTTTCAAGTCCCATTGAAATGAGTACAAAAATAGCGAACTATTGTATAAGCTCATGCAGATAGAATACAAGGCCTCAGGAGGGGATCTTCCCCCAAATGTCATGTTAATTAGAGTGGAGTCTTGGGTCCAATCGACATTTCTGTACCAGGCACTGTCGCTAGCTAGCTCTCCAACTGGTGGGCTGGGTGGAATGCCACAGAGCAGTTCCAAGCAGTTGAAGCTGGAAAGAATATAGTAGGAGGGTCCGGGGGAAGGAGAGAGCTTATGTTATACATTAATTGTACAGTAATTGAGAAAAATGTCAGGTGGCAGAACGAGGTGGAGCCAGCTAGCAGCTGGGTGATGCAGCTGGATGATGCGGAGGAGGGGGTGGGAACCCGAGGACAGCCTCCTTGGGGAACTGCCCTACAACAAGCTGTTCAGAACAGCTTGGAAATAGAAAAGGCCTTTCCTGAATGGGCTGGTCGCTAAGGTAGCTTCCTTTTTTTTTCTTTTGTCTTTCAGAGCGCTCATATGAAAAAATGCCTCAGCATTCACGTAGAACGTGAAAACTACATTTGATGAGATTAAATGTTATGTACAACTAGTGACTGTCCAGCTTTGTTGTACATTTTCAAGCAAGAGTCAAGTGTTCAACATGAGAAACAGCTTATGATACATTTGTGATACAGTGCAGGTGGGAATGGGATGGGAAGCCCTCGGTCACACCGAGGAAGAGACAGAGCCTTCCAGAAGACTGTCCCTCCAGAATCCAGGCTGGGTAGGAGGCAAAGACATCAGACCAGCCCTGTCCAGCAGGTGCCCCACGCGTCTCATTCACAGCCACAGCCTGTGAGGCGGTGTCTCGAGTGGAGCAGGGATGCCTCTAGTTCACCTCCCCCAGGAGTCCGTGCTGTCTCAGTAGCTTGTTCAGTCTTTCAATTTCTTGTTCCTGTTATTACAAAAGCAGAGAAATAACTGAATTTACCTCTGAGCCTCACCAGGGATGTGACCATTATTCCGTGAGCCCTGGTACGAGGACAGGCCATGAAGCTTGTGGAGTCAGTCCGCTGAAGGCGACTGCCACAGTCAGATGGGGTCCAGTGACAAGAGGAGGGACGCCCAGCCTAGCTCTGGGAAGGAGGCAAGGACAGGGAAGGCTTGGCCAGGGGGAGGGGTGCTCCTGGCTCAAGGCCCACAGGAGCGAAGGCCTGGCGTGAGAAGCACTGTGCTGAGGTGGGCAACTGCCAACAGGTGGTATTTCCCCAGAAGTGCTTTCTTACCTTCTCAGAGCAGCTGAACTCAAGGTGCTGGATCTTGGCAGCCAATTGCATATTTATCTGTTTTAACCTCAACAGTTGCCGTTCTGAACGTGTCTTAACTGAGATAATTATTCCTGAAAAATAATTGAGGGTCTCAATGATCCTGGTTTCTAACTTAACCACTTGAAAAAAAAATCTGTGTTCCTTATAAATGTATCCAGTTGAGAAGAGTGTGACAGACAAGCAAGACAGTCACTGCTTAAAGGCATCTGAACTAGGAGGGTCAGATTGTTCATTTCCGAGGACCTCGTTGTGAAATACTTCTCTTTGGTCCCCAGGGGCTGAAAAATCCTTAAAAATAATCACTGAACAGATGAGCATTGAGCTCCTTAGCACAGAGCTTCTTCACCACAGCACTGCCTAGCAGCAGTGTGTGCAAAAGCCACAAAGGTGCTGGCCTGGCTGGTGTGGCTCAGTGAATAGAGTGTCAGCCCGAGCACCGAGGGGTTGCGGGTTTGATTCCCAGTTAAGGGGATGTATCTGGGTTGCAGGTTCTTTCCCTGCCTCAGTTGGTGCATGTGCTCGAGGCAACCAATCTCTCTCACATAGATGTTTTTCTCTCTCTCCCTTCCTCTCTCTCAAATCAATAAAAATAAAATAAAGTCATAGCAGAAACATGAATTCTGAGATAGAGGCTCCCTGTACAGACAGGGTGTGCAAGGCATAGGCTTTTTACCTAAAATACGCAGTATTTCCTCAAGTGTGTGCTCCACAGCCAGTGTCTACAGCATGTGAATAGGTATTACGTACCCAGAAAGTATCAGATTGGTCAATTTGGAAAATATTACAGTTCTCAGAGCCTTCATCACACTAACACATGTTGTGCTTTTCTCAAAGGGGCAGGATCTAGCGTAAACCATTTTTCAGCTTCCTTGCATCCCTTTTGGATGAGGCCCCTCCCCAGGTGGGTAGGGTGTGATAAGTCTAATACAGTGGTCGGCAAACTCATTAGTCAACAGAGCCAAATATCAACAGTACAACGACTGAAATTTCTTTTGAGAGCCAAAATTTTTTAAACTTAAACTATATAGGTAGGTACATTGTATTAACTTAATTAGGGTACTCCTAAGATGGCCTTTGCTAAAAACGTCCTCAATCTGATTGAGGTACGTTCGCTGAGGTCGACCCCTTCCAACTCTCCCATCCACACTCATCTTGTATACTTGTTTCGTCTATCTTTTGTCACATGCGCCATTTGCGGACGCGACTAGCACTAACCACTGCACATGAGACTGCTGACTGACTGGCTCACTCAACTCGTGCATGAATTGCGCACCCCTCCCCCCGCGCTGCGTATCCCGCGGCCCGCCTGCGCCGTGTCTCCTGTCGCCCGACCGACTGACCGACTGACACCCCCCCCACTTCTTCTAATGCCACTTCTTCAAAATAGACTCGCCCAGGCCGAAAACCGACTTCTGCGCATGGGCCACGAAGTTTCAATCGCACTGTACGGGGTATTTTGTGGAAGAGCCACACTCAAGGGGCCAAAGAGCCGCACGTGGCTTGTGAGCCGTGGTTTGCCGACCACTGGTCTAATAGAAATAGGGCCTAAAGGAGAAAGGTAGTTCCTCTGAGAGCACATCTTGGTGTCCGTCTTAGGCACAGAGGTGGTGGTGGGACCCCAGATCAGACCACTTCACTTTCCTCTAGACGGCGGGGAGGAGAGGAAACCGACCTGGAAACCACGACCTGCAGCCTCTGTGTCCACTCCCAGGTGCCACCCGTTCCTATCTGCTCTGCCACCCAGGGGTGCAGGGGACATACCGTTGATGATCCGGGCCACCCGCCACAGCCGGAGCAGAATCAACAGGCCAAGAGCCTCAAACTCATGCTCCTGGAACAGGACGACGATGTCGAGGACAAATGAGACCACGACGACAACAGAATCCAGGATTTCAAACTTGTGGTGGAAGAACTCGAAGCGGAAAACAGATATTTTAAAGAAAACCTCTATCATGAAGAAGGTCAGGATGGCAATGCTTATGTAGTGGAACACCTGAAGGAGACAAGGAAGCACAGTGAGTGCAGGTCCGGGCGGTGCAGGTCACAGACCAGCAGGCCGAGTGCACCTGTCAGGTCGCCAGAGAGAGATTTCATTCACTGGCCAGTCCCAAGCCCCTACCAGCACCAGGCCCTGTTCTCGGGCTGGTAAAGCAGCGGGAACAGCAGACAGGGCTCTGCTCTTTGAAGGACAGCTGGGCGATGGCGGCTTGGAAAACATCCGCCGTGCCTATTGGCATAGCAATACTATCACCGTGCAGAAACCTTATGTTCTTTCATGGGGCCTTTTCATTTTTTTCCCTTTGACTCAAACTCGCCTCTCACCCAGCACCCTGACTCACCCACCTTGCTTAATCATTAAGCCCTCAGAGCAATGAGGTTCTGGTCAGCATCCAGTAGTCTTAGAACAAGTCTATTGATTTATAGAGACAGAATTTTCAATCCAACTACAGAGAGCATGTTGGCCTCAGTTTCCAGGAAAGCAGAGCAATCCCTCCAAACATGTCCTTGCCCAATCAGGACAGAATGACTCCATGGCTGACATCAGGACCAGATACAGTGATCAACTACCCTCTACCCTAGCGCCAACCAATCAATAGAGACCACGACCCTAACTCCTTGAGTCATGATTAATGATTCCCCCCACCCCCATAAAGTCCTTCCCCTGGAAGCCATGGGGAAGGAGTTTTTTGAGCAGTAGCTCACCTGTGACTCCAGGCATGGTGCCATCTCCTTAATAAATCCTTACTTCCTTGGCTGCAAACTCTCGTTTGATAAGTGCAGGCAAACAGACCCTTCAGTTGGGTAACAATGCCACTGCTTGGAATTTATCCTACAGCCTAATTCATGTGTACAAAGACTCGTAAGGATACTTGCTGCAGCATCACTTGCCAAACAAGATCTTCTACATAGTTTGTAGAAAAATTGAAATATCCATTAGAGGGCAATCGTCAAATGCATTATGGTACCTCCATATGGAGCACTACGCAACTGTTAAAAAGACGAAGGCTGATCCATATGGGTTGACTAGCAATGATCACCAAGGTAGATGGCGAGTGAAGAGTTCCCAGATCCTGACTGATAAATACTGGTCTTCAGTAAAGTAACCATTTCCATTCTGAGGCAGGGAAAGTTCAAAGTCAGCTGGGACATCATCTTTGAGCAGGGAAATGCTCACAGACTATGGGGTCGTGCCAAAGGAACACAGCAGTCCACTCGAAGGGGCTCACAGTGGCCAGGTTTGGGACCATTTGAATATTGAAAAGAATGGCTATCATTGTAATACACTGAATACATAACACACAAAAAATCCATGCGTCCATAGTGAGGGGTACATGCACACACATGTGCACACGGGAAAAAGGAAAGCTCTTATAAAAGAATAGCAACTATGTGATGTAGAAGGAAAGACAACTCAAAATCACCAGTTTGCATCCCCCAGTGTATTCACTGGCCAGCCAATGCTCATGAGTGGATGCTAATTGGCTGTTAGATATGGAATTATTGATAATTTTAAAGGTATGAAAATGCTATGTGGTTCTGTAGGAGGAAGACCTCATTCTTATGTACATCAAAGTATTTAGGATGAAGTGTCATGATGTCTAACTTACTTTCAAATGGTCAGACAATAATATATGGGTGTGTTTGTGGATAGAGATATAAAGCAAATATAGCAAAATGTAGATTTGCCTCTTTTTTTTCATAATCAAAAAGTTGAGGAAAAAGAAGGGCACAAGACAGTGAGTTTGCAGGTATGTTATTGGTTCTGTTAAAAAAAAATAGAAGAGAAATTCATCCATGTATGGAAGGACTGGGGCTGGCCGCAGAGGGACACCTAAGGGTGCCTTGGGAAAGGGGCCACGCGTAGGAAGGTGGTGTTTTACACCTGAAAGGGCATTTTCGAATTATAAATCAACTTTTGTCTTTAAAAAAGTGTTGGGAGAAGCTTTCCAGCCCCCGACTGTCTCCTATGTTACTGACGATGGGCCACAGGTGGTGTATTTTTGGGGTATCCAGTGCCCCTTGGGCGAATGTTGGGGAGGGACTCCGGCAGGAAGTGTGAATCAGGGAATAAATAGTGGCACATCCCCGATGGCTCCAGCCTAGGGACCCCATCAGAACGGCTAAGGAGAAACAGCTCTTCTAGGGGACGGGAAAGTATGGTTCTCCTGGTCAGAGCGCCCCTCTGGAATCAGGGACACACTCCAGCTCAGTGGTCGGCTCAGTGGTCAGTCCGGGAAGCCATCAAGTGAAAGGAGAAAGTGTCCTGCTTGTAGTAAATGCTTATAACTTTCCTCTGCCCTTTGACTAAAAGCACCCAATCTGCTCTCATGCAGCCTCAGGGCGGCTGCTGTCCACCCTACTCTGTCCCCTCCAGTGCAGGTACCAGAGTGAAGAAAGCATAAGGGCTGTGGACAAGCTACCCGGCCGGCGTAGTTGTTCTTGTCCGGCTGGATGATCTTCAGGTCCAGGATGAGCTCGGCCAGCACCAGGAGGGCATCCAGCACAACCAGGCAAATGATGATGACCTGCGGACCCAGGGAAGGAGGAGAAGCCATGAGCCCTAAGGGAGACCGCCTTCTATCTTTCAAAGGTTGGTTTGGAAACATCTGGATGAAACCACTAGGGAAAAATGCCAAGGATGGGAGGCTGCTGGCTATGGCCCAAGCACCCTGTGGGGAGCCCGCTGGGGGCCAGCTCCTCCACAGAAGCCCCTCCTCCCCCTGCTGCCTTCCCGGGCTGTTCGCCACCTCAGTGCCTGTACCAGGGCATCTCAGGACAGCTCACTCACTGAACCTCTGTCACTACTTGTCTTTTTTTAAAAATATATATTTTTATTGATTTCAGAGATGAAGGGAGACAGAGAGATAGAAACATCATTGATCAGCTGCCTCCTGCACACCCCACACTGGGCATTGAGCCCACAACCCAGGCATGTGCCCTGATCGGGAATCAAACCATGACCTCCTGGTTCATAGGTCGACGCTCAACCACTGAGCCATGGCAGCCGGGCACTACTTGTCTTTTTCTTACTCGTTCACTGTTTCCCAGCATCTCTCAAACCAAACTGCTAATCCCTAGGTGGCAAACAAAATAAGCAATAAAAACATTTTGCCACATTTTTATTTTCCTAGTACTGTGCATTGCTCTCGCTTGGGTAAGCCCAGAGTAGATGCTCAGCAAATAATGAGCAACATGCAGCCTCAGAGGTCTGAGTGGTGGGAGAGACCTCCAGGCTCTGCCCGCTTTGGGCAGTTGGGGTACAGTGATGTCCGCTGTGCACATAAAACAGCTGCCCCGGTTCAGATGGAAAGCCGAGGAGTTGTGGGAAAGACAGTCATGACCTGGGGGCAGAGGAGGGCAGTGGGAACCAGAGCGGAGGGAGTGTGTGATCGCAGTGATGGTGGTGGTCACGGAGATGGAGGTGGTGACGACTCTGATGAGGGCACTAATGGGTGGTGGTGACGGTGTTCAGAGAGACCACAGGGATGACAGGGTGGTGATGGGAATGGCAGCAATGGAGGGACCCGGGGGACGTTGCGTGACTTTCTTCCTTTGGAAACGGTGGACCATTACTTGCTTCCCCCGGGGCCTTGCCTCTTACACTCTCAGGTACATCGATTTTGGCCTCTGAAGGTTAATGTTGCCATTAATTTTCTTGGCAGTTTCAGGATGAAATTCTACAAGTCCAGGCCTACTAAGAACGATGTACTGTATACATTTTTTATCATTTCCACCCGTAGCTAATTATTTCAGTAATTAAATGATTTGATGAGATGGATTATTGTGAAATTGCATGGCAAACTGTTTTTCAATGAAATTTTCATACAGATCAAATTCAGCAGCTTAATACAGATTCAAGCCTTTGGTGGTTTTTTCCCTCCTTTTCTTTCTTTCTTCATCTTTGGTTTTATTTTAGAGCTAAAGGGATCTGACTTAAAACCAAGGCACAGAAATATTAAAAACAGACTGCATATTCAGCCCTAAAAAGAGACAAAGTACTGGTACATGCTATGACGTGGTTGAACCTAGAAAACATTATGCTAAAGTGAAAGAAGCCAGATGCAAAAGACAATCTGTATTGTATGATTCCATTTATATGAAATGTCCAGAACAGGCAAATCTATAGATGCAGTAAGATTAGCGGTTGTCAGGGGCTGGGAGGTTATTGTTTAATGGGTACCAAATCTCCTTTGGGGGTGATGAAAACGTTCTGGAACCAGATAGTGGTGATGACTGTGCAACATTGTGAATGTATTAAATAAATGCCACTGAATGATTCCCTTTGAAATGATTAATTTTATATGAATCTCAGGCCCAAGGTCACAAAGCTACAATGCCCCGTCCCCACCCTGTATTTTCTCTCTTGGTTGTGCCATCCCATGTGTGACAGCAGTCAGCTGTACATCATGTCACCTTGGCCACCTCAAACCATGTGGAACAGTGGTTTGAAGGAAAGGGATTCCAGAATCTTCTGTATGCTGATCCTACTGGCACAAATCGAACCCCTGAGCCTGAACCTGTATCCCCTGCTGTGAGGTGGCCACCTTTCTTCTACTCTTAGCCCCCTCTCCAAATCTGGTCATGTCACCCCCTCCCACCCGCCTGTAAACTTTCCATGGCTGCCCACTGCCCAGGGATGACGACCTTCCAGTGCCTCCTCTCTTGCCAAGCGGTCCCTCTTCTCACCACACACATGCCGCGTGGACCCTCCTCAGTCCTGCAACGCTGCCGACCTCCGGCCCTTAGCAACAGGGCCATCTGCCACTCCCTCTCCCACCCACTGAGCTCACTCCTGCCCAGCCTTCATGTGTTGGGGGAGAGGGGCATGTCACCTCCTAGACATGTCTGCCCCGTCCCCAGGATCTCTCAGAGCCCCCTCTGTTTTCCTACAGAGGGCTTCTCTCCACTTGTAACCAGTTATCTGTCTGGGTGGTTTCTGGAATGACTGTATCCGTGAGTGGGGCAGGAACATGTCCACTGTGCTCGCCACTGTACCCCCCGCCCCCCCCCACACACACACAGGTGCTAAGAAACGGCTGTTGAGTGAATGACTAGCATCTCTACTTGTTTTTCCCCAGAACCAGCATCTCCGGGGATCCCAGCTCAGGGGGCCAGCTGGTGGGCTGAGTCAGGAGAAGGGGGGCACCTCCCCGAGGGGGATAATCCAGGGCTCCCCTTGCAGCTGGAAGGAAGCTGGCTCCTTCCTCCTGCTCCTGAAAATTGAGGGTTTGGGATTTCAACCCCAACAACTTAATACCACGCTTTCTTTCCTGTCGCAGCCACAGAGGAAAGCACTGTGCCGGGCTGCTGGGCCTGCATTCTTTCTCGAAGCCACATAAAAGCGACAAAAGACCAAAATAAATTTTCCCTGTTTTACCCTGGAACAAAGTCAGCGACGGGAGAGGCAAGGGCTGCTTCTCTCTGCTTCCAGAAGGGACACTGGCTCTTGGTAGGAACCGGATTATCTTGGCCCAGGGTCCCCCAAATGGCTCCACATGGTAACGGGGCTGACAGGGGCTGCGTGCTTCCCCAGTGCCCCTGGGCCTCCTGCATTCTCCTGGGCCTTAGACGTGCTCCTGGACTCCTGCCTGCCACCTGAGGGCTGGCCAGACCCCACCTGCCTCTATCCTTCACAATCAGATGGCAGGACAGATCCTGAACTCCGCAGAAAGCTCCATTCCTTTGCTGTCCTTTGAAGCCCCCCATCTCCCTCTCATGGTCTCCCCATGACCACACCTGGAAGTCGGCGGTGAGTGAAGCCTGGCAGGTATTTTTGGCTGAGGCTGAGGCCCCCAGGGTGAAGAGTGGGTGTGGCCTGGCACGCTCTCGCCTTGTGGGGCTGGCACGTTTTTCCTGCCTCCAATGTTTATCCTTTAATTGACTTTGTGAGTGTGCGGCAAAATTTGTATAACATAAAATTGACCATTTTAAAATTCAGTAGCATTAAGTCTCTTCCCAAGGTTGTGGAACCACCCACCACTATATAGTTCCAGAACATTTTCATCACCCCAAATGGGAGCCCTGTACCCATGAGGCATTCTTCCCTCCCTCCAACCTGTGACAACCACCAGTCTGCTTTCTGTGCCTACGGATTTGCTCCTTCTGGGCATTTCACATAAATGGAATCATACGATACAGAGTCTTTTGTGTCTGGCTTCCCTCACTCAGCTGTAGCCGGTGTCGTTTCCTTCCTTTTCATGGCTGAGGAGTATTCCAGTGGGTGGATGGACCACATGTTGTTTATCCGTTCATCAGAGGATGGACCGCTGGAGTGTGATTTAATCCCTGAAACATGGGACCTGCCCCGGGGACCCGGCACGGTGTAGGCGCCTGGCACATGGTCGGTGCCCAGGAGACATCTGCACCGGGAATGAGGCAGTGGCAGAGATGGGCCCCCACCCCAGCCTCGTGACTCTCAGCTGAGGGCTCTGCCCACCTACCTGAAACCTGTGGGAGCTGAAGAGCTTCTTCACCCTGGTCCTGAAGTCTAGAGGGCGCCTGGGTGTGGAGACAGGGGCCGCAGTTGGCTCAGCAGCTCGGCCCTCTTCCTCTGAAGCTGGTGTTGGCGGCGGCGGCGGCTGCTGCTCCTCCTCCTCCTCCTCTTCCTCCTCCTCCTCTTCTTCATTCTCCCATTTCTTGTAGTTGATGTTCCAGGCATGGTAGTCATCCCCAACGACAGTGAAGTGCTTCAGGAACTTGCTCATCCTCTCGGCGGGAGCCACCTTGGCCCTTCGGGTGACCGTCTGAAGGGAGGGGACAGAGAGTGAGCGCTCGGCAGGGCGGCCTCGGAGCCCGGAGCCCGACCAGACCAGTGGGACCCCACGTCTCTCTGGCGGGGAGCAGGGCCCCAGCTGGGCCACAGGGGTGAGGGCAGTCCCAGAGCTCAGAGCACCGTGCGAGCACAGAGACCGTGAGGTCACAGTGGTTTCTTGTGCTTTTATTTTTGGAATCCAGGCTGTCAGTGTCAGTGAGGTGACAGGAAATGCCAGACCCCATCAGGCCTATCACTGTGGTCTGGTTGGCAGTAACCAACGGAATTGGTACTACAACCCAGTTACAAAATACCCATCACGGGCCCACATGTAAAGATCGGAAGAAGGCCGCATGGTTCAAAGATATCACAACCTGAAAAACCAGAGGCGAGAGTTGCCAGGGGGAGGGGAAAGCCAAAAGTAAAAGTACCCAGAGTTTCATGCCATGGCCCATCAGTCCTTGAACAGTGAGAAGCAAATGGATTTTTTTCTAGGTTCAGCTGTTTTAAATCCATCGTGTATTTAAAATATATATGTTATTGATTTTTTACAGAGAGGAAGGGAGAGGGATAGAGAGTTAGAAACATTGATGAGAGAGAAACATCGATCAGCTGCCTCCTGCACACTCCCCACCGGGGATATGCACACAACCAAGGCACATGCCCCTGACCGGAATCGAACCTGGGACCCTTGAGTCCAAAGGCCTACGCTCTATCCGCTGAGCCAAACCGGTTAGGGCGATAATACATTTTTTAATAAAGTTTGACAATGAAAACTTTCAGGTATGGATGCAAGAATAGGCAATATGGTCAGTGGAACAGAAGAGAGCCCTAAGCAGAACCTGGATGTGATGGTGGTGGCAGGTCAGATCAGCGGGAAGGGCTGGCGAGGTCAGGACAACTGGCTTTCCCAATAGAAAAGTAAGTAAACAAAAGACCCCCATACAACACAAAGAATAAATTTAGGAGGCATTAGCATTAATGTATGTGTGTGTGTGTGTGTGTGTGTGTGTATATATATACATATATATATATGTATTTTTTTAAAACTTTAAAAGTCTTAGAACAAAATACAAGTATCTTCATGACCTCAAAACAGGGGAAGATTGTTTAAAGAAGACAAAACTGCTCGATCGGCATGGCTCAGTGGTTTAGCATCAGGCTATGACCCAGGAGGTCATGGTTTGATTCCAGGAGGTCACAGTTCGATTCCGGATTGTGGGCTCAATCCCCAGTGTGGGGTGAGCAGGAGGCAGCCGATCAATGATTCTCTCTCATCATTGATGTTTCTATCTCTTTCTCCCTGTCCCTTCCTCTCTGAAATCAATAAAAAAACTAAAAAATATATATATATATTACAGTTTTTAATTCTTTCTTGTTTAAAGTATTACATATAGTATTACTTATGTCTCCTTTTCCCCCCATTGACCTCTCCCTGGCTACCCCCACCCCCCAGCACATGCCCTCACCCCCCTACTGTCTGTGCCCATTGCTTATGCTTATATGCATGCATACAAGTCCTCTGGTTGATCTCTTACCCCCCCCCCCACACCCTCCCCTGCCTTCCCTCTGAAGTTTCATAGTCTATTTGATGCTTCTCTGTTCTGTATCTATTTTTGTTCATCAGTTTGTTCTTCATAAAAATATATTTGTTAAAAAAGAAAACAAAAACACAAAGAAATGGATAGAGTTGACTCATCAAAACTAAAAGCTTTTCTATCTCACAGACACTCCTACAAAGTTAAGACACACACAGATTGGGAGTAAGTATTGCAATGTACTTAACAGACACAGATTTAGCATCCAGAATATATAAAGAAACGTTACTTCAAAAAGATAACTCCATGGAAAACTAGGTAATAGATATTAAGCAAGTCACTTAAGAGAAAACCCAAATGGCCAAGATACTCAACTTCACCAGCACTCAGGAAAATGCGAGGTGACGTAACAATCGCACACCTTTTCACTCCTCAGATTGGCCAGATTTTAAAGTCTACAGTAGCAAATGTCGGTGAAGGCGTGAAACAATGGGGTCTGTTGAACACTGAAGATAAGACCAGGCAGTGGCACCACCATTTTTTGGAAGCAAAATGGCATTGTTTTGTCAAGATGAAGTTGTGTATATCTTTCTTAACGATCTAGTGATTCCATCCCCAGATGGGCTCCCCCCCAAAACTGCCCATATGTGCTCAAATCAATGACATGCTCAAGAATGTTCACCAGAAATGTTCACCTGAATGGTGGGAGATAAATGGATCCTATTTGTGTGATGAAATACTATACAACAGTTAAAATAAATGCCTCTGTATATCACTGAGGACATCTGCATGCACCCGGCCACAGAGATGACCTGGTCGGATCTCCCCATGCTTTCAGTGATGGCGTAGACCTTGAGCTGCCAGGGTTTGCTCAAGGTCTCAGGTAACCAGCAGCCGTGCGCTGGAAAATAGGACTGAAGCTCTTTGATCCCAGGCCACTGTTCCTTCCTGTTCTGTGGTGCCTTGTACTTTTCTAAGCTCCAAATTCATTAAAAGGACACCACCTCTTTCATAAGCCTTTCCAGAACCCCAATATTTTCTTAAGTGCCCTGAGACTGTGGGGCGAGGTTTCGGGTGATGTGTGTGGAGGGGATGGTGCTCCAAAAGGCTATATCCAGGAACCCCTTCGACCCCAGGCTGCCTCCCCTGCCCAGTCTCCCATATTGTTCAAGCACCGTGGGAGCCCCTGATTTGAGACTTCCTCCGATGCTAAAAGGCCCAACGAGAGCTTATAACCTCCCAAGAGCGAACCTTCTGAATCTGGCCCCTTCCAGGATCCTGGGGCCTGCCTGGCTCTCTTCTTCTGACCCTCACTACTCATTTCCTCTTCCGCCGTCTCCCTAGACCAGGCCTTCATCCTCTCACCCAGAAGACTGCAACAGCCTCCTTATCCATCTCTCTCCGTCGACCCAGTTCTTCCAGCACATTCTCCACCCAGCAGCCTGAATGGATTTTATAAACCTTCACCTCTGACCATAGCACCTGATCATATCACTGCCCCCTGCTTTTTGCTCTTTGAATAAACATCCAAGATCCTTCCAACGATATACATGGCCCTGCAAGGTTTGATCTCATCTCCTACCCCACAACCTATCCCTCCAATGGGCCACAGTCTCCCCCCTCTGGGCCTCCTGAGGGGTCGTCCCTCAACCTGGCATGCTCTTCTCCCCACTGGCATTGCTCACTCTTCCTCATGCTGGAAGCCTCAACTGAAATGTCCCTTCCTCAGAGAGGCCATCCTTGACCCCTCAAATGTAAACCAGACCCCTTCTTAATTTGATAACCCTTCTTTATATTCCTTACCTTTCCTTTGAGAGCCCTTAAAACCATTTCCAACTAGAAATCTTTTTGTGCAGCTGTTTATTAGTTCTCTCTCCACACTAGCATTTAAGCTCCATCAGGGCAGAGTGTGTGTCCCCAGAGTCTCACATGACACCTGACTTAGAAGCCCACCAAGCGCCTGTTGGCTGAGGGCCCTCGGACCCCGTCTCCCATGTCGGGCGGCGACTCGTCTCAGGCTGGATCCTCCATCACTTGGTTCCCAGGGCTGGCCAAGGGTGGCTACTGGCCATACCTCCCCCCCCCCAAAACCTCCTGTGCTCGTCTGCAGCACGGGGGAGCCTCTGAGTGCTTTGCAAAAACCACATATTTTACAGAAGAGAAAATTTTTTGTCCTGAAACCTTGCGACCAGTAAAAAGAAGCAACGTTTAGTAATTTGGGATGAAAATATTTACAGCACCCAGCAGAGCAGAAAAGAACTCTGGTTTTAAGTTTGAAAAATCTGTCATTTCAGAAGCAGAAAAGTTCCAGAAAAGGGCAACCATATAGCTCATCACGAAAATGTTGTGGGCCTCTGAAATCCACCACCCACCCTGGACTCCCCGCTCTAGTGCCCCCCACCGCTAGCCCTGCCCGGGAGGAAGGACTGACTCAGTGAGTAAGGCAGAGCACCAACCTCAGTGCCTGGCCTGGAGCAGCCGCTCCACAGTGACGGCTATTCTTCTTCAACATCGAAAACTCTCCTCTCCACTGCTCCGCCTTCATCACCGTCCATGAGTATTTCACGTCTTGGCTTCCTGGCCGGCTGCCAACCTCTGCAACCCCCTGGCTGTTCAGTCTCACAAACTGTTGGATTTCCTTTGTGGCTTAAGCTACATTGAGTTGTTTCTGTCACTTACAAACCCAAAAATCTAGACCAGTAGCGTCCCTGACACTGGAAACCGCCCATCTCCATGCCCCCTGCATTAACCCTTACTGTCCCGCTATATCCTGACCCTACTCTCCCTGGGGTCACCTTTAGATCGAAGCCCACAACTGTGGTTCCCATCTGCTTGACTGTACTGCATCCTGTCACACTGCTGACTCAGGTGTTTTTTAAAAATATGTTTTTATTGATTTTGAGAGAGAGAGGAAGGGAGAAGGAGGGGAGAGAGATAGAAAGACCAATGATGAGAGAGAATCATTGATTGGCTGCCTCCTGCACGCCCCCTACTGAGGATCAGCCTGCAACCTGGGCATGTGCCCTGACCGGGAATCAAACCAGTGACCTCTTGGTGCATGGGTCAATGCTCAACCACTGAGCCACACCAGCCAGGCTGACTCGGTTCTTTTTGACAATCTTGCCTCATCATTTTTCTCCTACGGCTGGCCATCCTTCTCAGTGTCCTGTACCATGTCCCTGTCCTGCCACCTGGAGTCCTTGAGATTCTGACCCTGTCCTAGGGCAGGGTGACCTTCCCCTTTGGTGGTCTCAGCACACCTGTGTTCTCAACGCTGCTCATGTTCAAAGTCTCAGCCAGATGACTGGTATGCTGTTTGCTGTGACCCAAACTTCCCTCCCATATCCACTTCTTCCATGAGCCCCCAGGGCTTGGCATCACATCCACCCCGCTGGCCAAGCCCAGAACCAACAGTCATCTCTGGTTCCTCTCTCTCCTTCAAGCTCATCGATAT